ATCAGACAGTAGGAACCCTACAGCACCTCCAAAGCTGCTTTGCCCAGCCACTCCCGGCAGTGTCGGGCACTGGCTTCCTTCTCTCCCCACCTCACTTACTTGGCAAAGTTTCCACGACTCTTCCACCCTGAAGCTCCGCGGTTGCGTCTGCTCTGGTGCCCAAAGGTAGCTTGTGTGTATTGCGCGATCTCGGTAGAACTGAGATTTTCAAGCAGCGGCACTCAACTAGGTGTGGTCTAGAGACCAATTACAACCTCCGCGTGGTCCCCGAGCTCTTAGCGAGCTGCGCACAGGCGTTCCCAGCCCAGACGGGGCGCTGGCAACCCTGCACGCCCTCCGCCTGTGTCGCCACCACAGCCCACAGGGCTCAGATGTGGTTTCACAGACCCAGATGGGCTGAGCAGGCGGTACACTAGTGGGTATTTCAAGCCCCTTCTGGTTTTTTTCTGAATGTTGTAGGGGGTTATGGGGTTATAGTGCCAATAGTTTCGTTTCTAACAAACACATTGAGAGCAGTCCCATCTCCTCGTCTGGGCACCAGAAGAACCACTGGACAGTGTTCACTTGCGACCACCCAACTACTAAAGCAAAAGCTGTTGTTGTCTTAAAAAAAATGCAAGTGCAAACATGCACGTGTGTGAGAACCAGGCTTAAGTGACCGAGATCTCCTGAGTGCTTGATTCCGGTTTACAAAGAGTTTCGCAGCTTACAGACTCATTATACAGGTACCTTCCCAATGTGACACTTCCAATTTCACCTCCACAGAATGTGAGGCAAAAGGAGCCAGTAAGGATTTCTGCAAAGAACAGACACTTTCCCAGGTGCAACAACAAAGGAAACGAAAGCATAAACTATGCTGCTTCTGATTATTTTGCTTGTTGCAGTAGTTTTTAGTTCAAGACTGTTTTCTGACCTTTGAAAGAGCAGGCAGTGTGGACATCAACCCTTTTATTAACATCATCATCCAGAAGCAAATGGCTCCTTAATTTAATCAGGATCTCTTATTATCAAATTATTGCCTTGGCCACAGTGAGGCTGAAAACAGGAGCAGAACATTATCAAGCTGCTCAGGAAGCCAGTGAGTAGTAATTACTCCCCCAGAGAACTGGTCATCTTCCGTGTCCTACCTAGTGGAAACGGAGTATAGCTGAGATTTATACCCTCCTCCACACCAAAATAATGGATGAAACAGACAGGCTATTAAAAATAGGCCTGATTCTGTTCCCTTTTAACTCTCACATCCTTCAAATGGATGTCTCCAGGCAGTTAAGTGTTCTAGCCTTTGCAGCTCCTTGTTACCACCCGATTTTGGGTGTTTTACAGCAACGGAGTAACTTAAGCTAAGAAACACTATGTGGCTTGAAATTCACACTAATCCATTTAGAAATGAAAGAACCAGAAATTTTAAATAACTGCCTTTTTCTTCTGTTGTCTGACAAAAAAGGTATCCTTTATTTTCTATAGGATGTCATCATTAAACCACATGACTGAATATATCAGACTCTACAATAAATTCAGTCTAAAGATCATCTATGTGATGTCTGCATTTTTTGCCTCACCATCTTTATCATAGTCCCTCTTACTGTCTGCTTTAGACATCCAGTTCATTTTGATATTTTAAAAAGAGTATTTCAGCTGGTGTGGTGGCTCACATCCATAATCCCAACACTTTGGGGGGCTGAGGCAGGAGGGCCGCTGGAAGCTAGGAGTTCGAGACCACCCTGGCCAACACAGTGAGACCCGTTTCTACAGAAAATTAAAAAGATAATAACTTTAATAAAAAAGAAAAAAATAATTATTTATCTTAAGGCCAGGAGTTTGAGCAACATAGACCCTGTCTCTAAAAGGAAGAAAAAAAAATTAGCTGGGTGTGGTGGTACTTTCCTATAGTCCCAGCTACTCGTGAGACCGAGGCAGGAGGACTGCTTGAGCCCAGTAGTTCAAGGCTGCGGTTAGCTATGATTGTGCCACTGCACTCCAGCCTGGGCAACAGAGTTAAGACCTCATCACAAAAAAATAATTTCTTCTTGAATTAAACTCTGCTCAATTCAAACACTTCCTCCTGGTGACAGGCTGGTCTTTAATGTACAACTGAGAACAAGACAGACCAGCACGTCATGCTTAATCATAATCCATTTCCAGTGAGGGCAGATCTGAATGGAACAGAACTCACAGTGAGACTGTCCCAGTTTTCTCTGAGAATTAAATGTGCTGTTTTAAATCATCCCTCTTTCAACCATTACTCTTTTGTTCCACAATTAACAAAATACTTAATTCTCTGTTGGTTAGAATTCAACACTGTATAGCAAGACACAAAACAGTGTCTATGTAGACTTCTTTATTAAGGGGGCTGCTGGTATAGAACTGTCTACCCAACGAGACAAAAGTCCAGACATGATGTAAACAATCCACTCTCTCCAACAATAAATGTACCGTTCACATATCCTTTCTCAGTAAGGGCACACTCTTTTGAGACAAAGACTGCTTCAAGTATTAAATGAACTTACTCAAAGGCGTGTAATATATAATCATCTACCACTTTCTATTTGCATACAAATGAAGCAATTGATGTTTTTCAGTCTTCTGCTGAATGCATTTTTAGGAGCTGACCTAACTATTCTCTGAGCAAGCTAAGTATAGAGTCTTGGGTGAGTGTAGACACATGAGACTACAACTAAGTATCTGTTCCCAGGACAGAATCTCCAGCCAGGGAGACCTGACCAGATTGAATTGAGCCCCAGGAACCAAAAACGTGGAGGGGCAGGATGGATTTCATTCTCTAAAGCAGCTGATGACTGCCTGAGGTGGAAGGTATAAACTAATCTCCCTGGGATATAACAAGTATTTGAAAACGGATTTTCTACAGTGAGAATGGTTTTCTTTAAGACATTTCCAAATACTGAATATTAAGGCCAAATTAATTCCATGAGAAACAAATCTTTCAATTATTATCTCTACCACCCTTCATTCCTTTTTTTTTTTTTTTTTTTTTTTTTGAGATGGAGTCTCGCTCTGTTGCCCAGGCTGGAGTGCAGTGACGCGATCTTGGCTCACTGCAAGCTCCACCTCCCGGGTTCACACCATTCTCCTGCCTCAGTCTCCCAAGTAGGTGGGACTACAGGTGCCCGCCACCAGGCCTGGCTAATTTTTTTTTTTTGTATTTTTAGTAGAGATGGGGTTTCACCGTGTTAGCCAAGATGGTCTTGAGCTCCTGACCTCGTGATCCACCCGCTTCGGCCTCCCAAAGTGCTGGGATTACAGGCTTGAGCCGCCGCATTCTTTTATTAAAGAGATTTTTAAAAGTATACAGAATTTCTCTTTACCGTGCCCATCAGAACTCCACTAATGTGCTGGGCACAGTGGCTCACGCCTGTAATACCAGCACTTTGGGAGGCCGAGGTTGGCCCATCACCTGAGGTCAGGAGTTCAAGACCAGCCTGGACAACATGGTGAAACCCCGTCTCTACTAAAAATACAAAAATTAGCCAGGTGTGGTGGTGCACATCTGTAATCCCAACTACTCAGGAGGCTGAGGCATGAGAATCGTCTGAACCCAGGAAGTGGAGGATGCAGTGAGCCGACGTCGCACCACTGCACTCCAGCCTGGGCATGAGCGTGAGACTCTGTCACAAACAAACAAACAAAAACAAAAAAAACTCCACTAATGAAAAAGGTGGGGAAAAACAATGTGTAGTTACTAATCAACAACCAAAACCACACCTCGCTGGGACCCAGAAAAGCAGGGGACCAACTAATTCTGTTAGCGGCTTGGGCAAGGGCAGCAAAGCTGCCTATCTGACTTGGTGCCGTTGGTGCCTTAACTCCTCCAGAAGCTGAGATGGAGCAGCAGAGAGGCAGAGAACACACGGATTTCCAACTGCTCCTCCCACCTCCTGCCCTCCACCACAGCCTGACAGTCTCCCGCAGGAGTAGCAGCAGCTGTGACTGCTGGGCTCCAAGATCAAGAGATACACCTGGAGAAGGCTGAGGCCACCAGAGAGGGGGCTGAAACAGTGTTTTCAGCTGAGAAAGGAGTGGCCACAGACTGCTAGAAAAGTACATGTGGCAGTTACCATGGAAACAAAGTGGCCAGATGCTGAAGAAGCACGAGTTGCCCCTCCTCATCGTGGGACCAGTTGGATGTTGGGCCCTTGATGGACAGGAGAGAAAATGGAAACCTCAATGGAGGCATCCACCACTGCTGTGTCTGGAGTTACCATGTGGGCTAAGAAACTGTCTTTGACCTCTTTCAAAGGCTGAATTCCAGAAGGCTGCTCCTCAATTATCACATTCTTCCATGTCAAAAGCCCCTGATAAGTATGGAACCTACAGAAATGTAGCTGATCGCATAGAGCATAAACTTTGTTTCTGGGCAGGAAGCTCCTCTAAACCTCTTGCTTTGTAAGAAGTAGAAGGAAGCAAACTTGCCTTAGTGATCAGTTGCGACAGCGACTGATGACCCTAAATATAATCTCCCATACTCTGCAGGAAAAAGAAATCTCAACTCAGTGATAAAATGATCTCTAGCTCCCAACACTTAACCACTGTCCTAGGCCTGATGCACCCTGAAGAAATACAGCACTGGGGATTAGGGGATGGACTTTCTCTTTTTATTTTCAGTTTCACCTCCTCAGTCTCAGCTTTCTTATTTTAACAGCCGGCCTCCTTTGTCTGGCAGAATGGATTATCTACCCCCACCATCCTTAATGTGTTTCCAGAGGCCTCTAATGAAGACCCTGAGCTTAGAAAACTCAAAACCAGTGCTTCTTTGACTCAGGTTGATTCTCTTCTATTCTTCTTTATTCAGCAGATTAGGGGCTGGGCATGGTGGCTCAGGCCTGTAATGCCAGCACTGTAGGAGGCTGAGGTGGGTGGATCACCTGAGGTCAGGAGTTTGAGACCAGCCAGGCCAACATGGTGAAACACCATCTCTACTAAAAATACAAAAATTAGCCAGGTGTGGTAGTGCATGCCTGTAGTCCCAGCTACTCAGGAGGCTGAGGCAGGAGAATCTCTTGAACCCAGGAGGCCGAGGTTGCAGTGAGGTGAGACCGCGCCACTGCACTCTAGTCTGGGTGACACAGCGAGACTCCGTCTCAAAGCAAAAAAAAAATGGAATACAAAAGAGAAGGAGAAAGCAGTAAACGGTAGCATAATTTAAGAAGCTGACCCCAGAATATATTCTGCATTCCATGTTTCTTCTATGGGGTTTAACTTCCTTTCAGCAACTTCTTCAAAGAGGCAGTTTATTCTGCAGTACACTCGTTAAGTCTCCTCTGAATACCCTAGAAAGGTTTTTCCATCAGAGCCTCTATCCAACTGGTTCCGTTCATTAGTTTAGTGGTGGCAATGACATATTCTGTACCTCCATCTTCCAACTGGGAGAGAAATCGCAGGGCAGCAATTTCAGCAAAGGTTACGCCCCCGAGGAAAAATATCAGAGTCACTCGGTTTTCTCCTGGTTGACCTAAAATTTAAACATTTCAGATTAAAAACTATTTATTACTGGTGCTCCTCTTCCCACCTCTTCAAACATTTTATCATTCACAAGAATAAACAAGTGTCTTCATCCAGACAGTTCATCTGAAACCCAGGAATACTGATTTTGATCTCAATGTTTTTTCTAACTCCTGAGATTCTCAACATAGAAGTTGAAAGCTGCTACCCCTCAGGGAATAATCCGACTCTAGTGCTTACTATATACATTAGCAACGAACAAAAGAGGTATATTTAATTCTGACTCCTAAGTGCTTTACTAAGTATTTTACAAAGCAACTGTACAATACCTGAAAACCACACTAACAGGACATAATTATCTGTAGATGCTGGACTGGGACTTACGTTTCTTCTGCAGTCCTGTGGGCAGTGGCTGTCGCTCCTCAAAGTGGGGCCCTGGGAGGATGCGGAGGACCTCCTCGATGCTCCGCCAGCCAGGTCGGGAAAGCAGCTGGGCCAGCCGCACACTGAGCGGGGCATACCCACTGTACACGTAGGATATGTCCGTGGGGTTCTGTGAGATAATTAAAGAACAAAAATCCTGTAGATACAGAGACTTAGAGCAACCTGACTGTGGCCTTTTGGGTAATCCAAAATTATTTGATTTGGATTTAAAGATAGATAAACAACCCCCACCCCTGCCATGCCCTGTTCTAATCCACCCCAGCAGAGCTCAATTTTAGCAGCCAGAGCTTCACTTTTGACTCAAATCTTGAAAAGCCACTCAAAGCAGCTCTAGGTACAGAAGATGAAAAATTACTTGGTTTGGCATGAAACTTCTTTTTTTTTTTTTTTTTTTTTGAGACAGAGTCTGGCTCTGTTGCCCAGGCTGGAGTGCAGTGGTGTAATCTCGGCTCACTGCAACCTCCGCCTCCCAAGTTCAAGCAATTCTCCTGCCTCAGGCTCCCAAGGAGTTGGGATTACAGGTGTGCACCACCACTCCTGGCTCATTTTTGTATTTTTAGTAGAAATAGGGTTTCACCATGTTGGCCAGGCTGGTCTTGAACTCCCGACCTCAGGTGATCCACCTGCCTCGGCCTCCCAAAGTGTTGGGATTACAGGCCTGAGCCACTGCGTCCGGCCAGCATGAAATGTAGTGGGGGGAACTTGGCACTCCCCAGCTGAGCAATGATGTGCAGTAACCTTTGAACTCAGCAATCCTACTTTTAGGCATTAATCCTACAGAGATGCTTGCAGAACAAAAGATAATAGACCAAAGTATAAACATATTAACTGCAACACTGCATGTAATAGCAAAGACTGGAAACAACCTGAATTTCTATCAGTAGCAATCTGTTAAATCATTAAATAAGGTATAGCCTCAAAACCACTACGTAGCAATTTAGAAAAATTAAAAAGAAGGGGAAGATCACAAAAGACCCTTCAAGATCCTTTGTTAAGTGGTAGGTGGGTCAGGAGTCAGAAAGGTCAGAACAGTGAAGGCAGCTGAACTAATACGTACATGACAGACTCTAGACATTAAGGGCCTCTATTTTCCCACTGGGAAAAAACCATCCAATTTTGCTCCTGACAGAGGAGACTGTCTAGTTACGAGCTTTTGTTGCAAGAGGCAGCCTAATAAAGTCCCTTATGAAAAAACAAAAAAGACTGAAATTTAGAAACATTAGAATAAAAAATGTATAGCAAAGTGCACCCCACTTTGGAGACCAACAGTAGAGAATATGCACTCTTTATGTAAAAATGTATATGCGGTCGGGCGCGGTGGCTCAAGCCTGTAATCCCAGCACTTTGGGAGGCCGAGACGGGCGGATCACGAGGTCAGGAGTTCGAGACCATCCTGGCTAACACGGTGAAACCCCGTCTCTACTAAAAAATACAAAAAACTAGCCGGGCGAGGTGGTGGGCGCCTGTAGTCCCGGCTACTCAGGAGGCTGAGGCAGGAGAATGGCGTAAAAACCCGGGAGGCGGAGCTTGCAGTGAGCTGAGATCCTGCCACTGCACTCCACCCTGGGCGACATAGCGAGACTCCGTCTCAAAAAAAAAAAAAAAATGTATATGCACAGAATCTTTCTGGAAGGATAGATAAAAAACTGGCCACCGTGACTGCCTCTGAGGGGAAACCGTGGAAGGAAACTCACTTGGCCCTGATGGCCCTGCTTTTGCATAGCTTTTTTTCTTTTTCTTTTTTTTTTTTTTTTTTGAGATAGAGTCTCATTCTGTTGCCCATGCTGGAGTGCAGCAGTGCAATCTCAGCTCACTGTAGCCTCAACCTCTCAGGCTTAAGGGATCCTGCCACCTCAGCCTCCTGAGTACAGTAGCTGGGACTATAGGTGCATGCTCCACCATGCCCTGATCACTTTTGTATTTTTTGGTAGAGACACGGTTTCATCATGTTGGCCAGGCTGGTCTTGAACTCCTGACCTCAAGTGATCCTCCTGCCTTGGCCTCCCAAAGTGCTGGGATTACAGGTGTGAGCCACCGCGCCCATCCATGGCTGGCTTGTTTATGAGAGCTGGACGTCTCCACTGGTTCCTCTAGACACTCTCCACCCTTCTCCGCAATGCCCTATGCCCAGAGATGGACCTGTAGGTCCCACACCAACACACTCCAATGCCTTCTCTTTGGGTCTGACCAGTGCAAAGCACCAGAGTGAACTGGAGAGTGGGCAGCAGTGTGAGGACGAGGTTGTCACTGGCTGGCTTCCTCTGCTGGAGGTTGACCGTACCCTCAGCCAGAGGCCCCTCACCCCTTACCTCAACAGATGGCCCCACCACAGCTCTTCTCTCCAGGTTCTAAGATAAGTTTCTAGAATACCCCCCTCTCCTTGCTCTTCAGGCCGCATCTGGCAAGGGCTCCCTACCACACTGCCTCTTACTGGTCTCCGCTCTTCCCACATCTTTATTTATTTAAGACAGAGTCTTACTCCCTAGCTAAGGCTGGAGTGCAGTGGCGCAAACATGGTTCACTGCAACTGCCTCCTGGGCTCAGTGATCCTCTAATCACGGCCTCTCGGACTAAAGGCTCATACCACCATTGGCCTTTTTTTTTTTTTTTTTGCAGAGATAGGGTTTTGCCACGTTGCCCAGGCTGGTCTCGAACTCCTGGACTCGAGCGATCTGACACTTCAGCCTCCCAATACACTGGGATTACAGGCATGAGCCACTGAGCCTGCCCCATATCTTTTTGTTTTTGGAGAGAGAGTCTCGCTCTGTCGCCCAGGCTGGAGTGCAATGGTGCGATCTGAGCTCACTACAATCTCCGCCTCCTGGGTTCAAGCGATTCTCCTGCCTCAGCCCCCCAAGTAGCTGCGATTACAGGTGTGCACCACAATGCCGGGCTAATTTTTGTATTTTTAGTAGAGATGGGGTTTCCCATGTTGGTCAGGCTGTTCTCAAACTCCTGAGCTCAAGTGATCTGCCCGCTTTGGCCTCCCAAAGTGCTGGAATTATAGGTGTGAGCCACCGCGCCTGGCCCACATCTTTATTAAACTCTCCAGAAACTCCCCAATTTAAGAGCATTCTCTGTTTCCTTCTAGGGTTCTGATGGATACAATACATGATGCATTACTTTTTCAAAAACATTAGAAAATTGTTTTTAGAAAGCAAGGCAGATGTGTAGGTTCAGAAGCATGTGTTGTCATGTGGACAATCTAACCAGTCCCTAAGCTGAGACGAGGTGGAGAAGTGTGGCTTACTTGCTCGTTAACATCATCCATCCAGAGGCGTAATGTTTTCCGTATAGTTGGGTAATTGTTTCTGCCCCCCGTCTGCGGTTTCAGTAGGCCAGCCTTCTCCAGGTTGTGTAAGGTCAATATGTGCTCATAGCCATATGTCTGCAAGGGAAGTCATTTGGCCTTGATATAAGATCAGGAAAAGGATTTCTGCAATTTTCAAAGAAGGGCACTTCCAACAAATCAATTTGGTTTGTACCGTAGGACATGTTACCAAAGTCCAGCAATGTTAGTGGGTGGGCACAGAGGACAGGGTGGAGGGATGAAACGTGTCCTAAAACTGCTTGCCTGTTACTATAAATTCAGCTCACTGTTTCAAAGAGAAATTTAAACTTTTTTACTTTAAAGTCAGAATGTATGGACCCAATCTAAGTGAGCATCAAATAAATGATAGTATATTTTTATATGGTATATAATTAGCTCCAAAAAAGAATAAGGCATATCTACACATCCTGATAAGAAAGGTCTCCAGAATATATTAAAAAACAATAATATGCAATGTAGGATATTATTTCTATTTTTAAAAAATAGCCAAGGTCTGGGCATAGTGGCTCACACCTATAATCCCAGTAGTTTGGGAGGCCAAGGTGGGTGGATCACTTGGGGTCAGGAATTTGAGACCAGCCTGGCCAACATGGCGAAACCCTGTCTCTACTAAAAATATAAAAATTAGCTGGGCCTGGTAGCGGGTACCTGTAATCCCAGCTACTCAGGAGGCTGAGGCAGGAGAATCGCTTGAACCTAGGAGGTTACAGTGAGCCAAGATTGTGCCACTGCACTCCAGCCTGGGAAACTCTTGCTATGTTGCCTAGGCTAGTATTGGCCTCCAGCGATCATCCTGCCTCAGCCCCACAAAATATTGGGATAATAGGGCTGAGCCACTGTGCCTAGCCTGTTAGCTATTATCATCACACAAATACAATAAACAGTGATGGCTACTAAGACTAATTCCTCTAGGTGTTAAAAAATTTACAAAACAGTGGTGACAAGACACCAAAATGGCAGCATTGTATTTTTTATTTAAAAAAAAATTTTAACTTTTTATTATTATTTTTTGAGACAGTCTTACTCTGTTGCCCAGGCTGGAGAGCAGGGGCGTGATCTTGACACACTGTAACCTCCGCCTCCTGTGTTCAAGCAATTCTCCTGCCTCAGCCTCCCAAATAGCTGGGACTACAGGTGCATGCTACCATGCCTGGCTAATTTTTTTTTTTTTTTTTGAGACAGAGTCTTGCTCTGTAGCCCGGGCTGGAGTGCAGTGGCCGGATCTCAGCTCACTGCAAGCTCCGCCTCCCGGGTTTACGCCATTCTCCTGCCTCAGCCTCCTGTGTAGCTGGGACTACAGGCGCCCGCCACCTCGCCCGGCTAGTTTTTTGTATTTTTAGTAGAGACGGGGTTTCACGGTGTTAGCCAGGATGGTCTCGATCTCCTGACCTCGTGATCCGCCCGTCTCGGCCTCCCAAAGTGCTGGGATTACAGGCTTGAGCCACCGCGCCCGGCCTCCTGGCTAATTTTTAAATTTTTGGTAGAGATGGGGTTTCACCATGTTGGCCAGGCTGGTCTCAAAGTCCTAACCTCAAGTGATCCACCTGCTTCGGCCTCCCAAAGTGCTGGGATTACAGGCATAAGCCACTGTGCCCGCCCCATGAAGTATTTTTTAAAAAGATGCTGTCCTCCTTGGCAAATTAATAATTTGAAAATATACTTACCTGGAGAATCTCTCTTTTGTAATAATCCAAAACTTTTTGTTTGAGCCCACTATTACACACGGATTGGAGGCAAACTAATCTTAACACCTTGATCAACGAGTGCTTTTGGGCGATACAATCCTCAATGTAATTGTTGACCTAGAAATAAAGTAGTGTACATATACATTTACATATACATATACACATACATGTACATATACACACATGCACACACACAATGCATGGTTTGGGAACTTAACTTGATGTTTATTATTTTTCAAAGTCCAATAAAGGAGATATGTGGGAAAATGAGCTGTTTTTCCACAGTCCAACCCTTTCCTGAAATAGCTCTGCTAGCCCCAGCCACATACACACCCTGGCCACCACACAGACACACAGAGACACACACACACACACACACACACACACTCAGTGATCAGGCCAAGTCACTGGAGCCCAAGGCTGCTGAGAATACAATTGGTCACTCCCTATGCCTGTCTGGACACATCTGTCTCTAAGGACACGCTTCTGAGAGGCTACCGGATGCCTACTCCATTTCAATAGTATCAACAACTAACCTAACAAAAAGTATCAGTAATTGTTTTATGTTAGGAATTTTCATAAAGTGAATAAAATTTGTTAATATTAAGAGCTACTTAAAGGAGTTATATAAGAAACTCTTTCAAAAGAGCAAATACCTTAATTTATCTAATACGGTCTTAAAGAGATTTGATTTTAGGGGCTGGGTCTCATCTTGCCATGTATGGCAGAAAGTGTCTTGCACAGAATAATGTTAAATATCTGTTACTTGATAAAATCTACACTTGCACATTTTGCATTTGCTCTTTTTTTTTTTTTTTTTTGAGAGGGAGTCTGGCTCTGTCGCCCAGGCTGGAGTGCAGTGGCCGGATCTCAGCTCACTGCAAGCTCCGCCTCCCGGGTTCACGCCATTCTCCTGCCTCAGCCTCCTGAGTAGCTGGGACTACAGGCGCCCGCCACCTCGCCCGGCTAGTTTTTTTTTGTATTTTGTAGTAGAGATGGGGTTTCACCGTGTTAGCCAGGATGGTCTTGATCTCCTGACCTCGTGATCCGCCCGTCTCGGCCTCCCAAAGTGCTGGGATTACAGGCTTGAGCCACCGCGCCCGGCCTGCATTTGCTCTTAAAAATATTTAAGTGGCTGGGTGCAGTGGCTCACTCCTGTAATCCCAGAACTTTGGGAGGCTGAGGTGGGCAGATTACAAGGTCAGGAAATGGAGACCATCCTGGCTAACATGGTGAAACCCTGTCTCTACTAAAAATACAAAAAATTAGCTAGGCATGGTGGCAGGTGCCTGTAGTCCCAGCTACTCGGGAGGCTGAGGCAGAAAAATGGTGTGAACCCGGGAGGCGGAGCTTGCAGTGAGTGGAGATCGTGCCACTGCACTCTAACCTGGGTGACAGAGCGAGCTGGGCGACAGAGTGAGACTCCATCTCAAAAAAAAAAAAAAAAAACTTAGGCAAGGCATGGGAATCGAAGCAGTTGGTTTTCTGGCTATAATCTGAGGTTTAATAAGTTTTCAATTACTTGCTAAAGAGGTTTTTTTGTCCACATACCTTATCAGTGTCTATTCCAGACATAAACTCCTGTTCCACGGTTAATTTATCAAAGAAGTCTTCAGAAGCTAAAATGAAATTAGCAAATTTGCAACTTAGAAATTAAATGTTAATCTACTTGAGTGGCATGCTTTTATACATAGAGCACGATTCAGAAACTAGACATGTAGCTGGGCACGGTGGCTCACACCTGTAATCTCAGCATTGTGGGAGGCCGAAGTGGGTGGATCACTTCAGGCCAGAAGTTCAAGACCAGCCTGACCAACATGGCCAAACCCCATCTCTGCCAAAAATACAAAAATTAGCTGGGTGTGGTGGTGCACACCTGTAGTCCCAGCTACTCGGGAGGCTGAGGCACAAGAATCACTTAAGCGGGGAGTGGAGTTTACAGTGAGCCAAGATCGTGCTACTGCATTCCAGCCTGGGCAACAGAGTGAGACTCTGTCTCAAAAGAAAGGAAACCAGACATCAAGCAAAAAAGCAAGCAAGCAATAAGTTTAAGTCATCACCTGAAGAAAATCTTCTAGGAAACGTGGAGAACCCTAGGCCTCTGCACTCCTAAGTTACACTGAGATACAGTCAACAACAGTGCTCCTTTGTATCCTTAGGATCTTAGTACATACCCCAGAATAAGCGTCAGTATGAATGAAAGCTAATTTCTCAAGAACATTTCATTTTCATCATTAGGTTCAACCCAATTTCAACTAGTTTCCACTTCTATGAACAGGAAAACAAAGGACTGATTTTCCAATACTGTGATTTGGTTAATATTCGAAGTATACTTCATAAAACAATCTCCTATTCAGCTCTTATAGCCCTGTGTTGTAATGAACAAACTCATGTCTGCTTTAATAGGTGTCTTCTGAGCTCTTTCAAAATACTTAACATATACTCTTTGTACCAATTCTGCACAGAGTATTCAAGGGAAGAACACGAGCCAATTAAGTAATCCTTCAAAAAAGGAAAAAAGCGGCTGGCCGCGATGGCTCACGCCTGTAATCCCAGCACTTTGGGAGCCGAGGCAGGTGCATTACCTGGGGTTAAGAGTTCGAGACCAGCCTGACCAACATGGTGAAACTCCATCTCTACTAAAAATACAAAATAAGCCGGGCATGGTGGTGCATCCCTGTAAAACCAGCTACACGGGAGGCTGAGGCAGAAGAATCGCTTGAACCTGGGAGGCAGAGGTTGTAGTGAGCTGAGATTGTGCCATTGCACTCCAGCCTGGGCAACAAGAGCAAAACTCTGTCCCCCCCCCGCAAAAAAAAAAAAAGAAAGAAAAAAGCTAGACTAAAAAAATTAACCATCTCAAATTATGATGGCAAACTTATAGATAATTTTTTTCTCTTATCTACATTCCAAATATTTTTCATATAAATTATAATGAAAAAATTTGAGTTAACAAGTGGACCCTTCCTCCCTCCCTCTCTCTTTTACTCTTTCGAGACAAGAGTCCTGCTCTGTCGCCTGGTTCAAGCAATTCTGTCTCAGCCTCCCGAGTAGCTGGGATTACAAGTGCCCGCCACCACGCCCGGCTAATTTTTATATTTTTAATAGAGATAGTGTTTCACTATGTTGGTCAGGCTGGTCTCAAACTCCCGACCTCAGGTCATCTGCCTGTCTTGGACTCCCGAAGTGCTGGGATTACAGGCATGAGCCACCAAGCCCCGCCTGGAACATTCTTAACTATTAACATATGTACACTTCATTAACGCTGAGAAGAACACGTGGTACTAAGACAGAGCTGACTCTCCCAGGAGGCATTGTGGTGTTGATGACCTAGGTGTCAAACCTAGGTTGTATGTGCAAGTAGCCCCAGATTGAAACAATCATTACAAAGGATACTCACTAGTGACATCTTTGATCAATTCTGCAATTGAGGTATGGTTTGCAAGCGAGCCCCTTGCTGCCTGCATGTGGGGCAACTGGGAAACGAACTGCTTGATCTCCCCCACGGTCTTAGCATTGTGTCTTTCCTGAAATAAACAAGAGAGCAGTGCCTCAAGCAGGGAAGACAGTTTATTTATTTTATTTTTTTGAGAGGGACTCTCGCTGTGTTGCCCAGGCTGGAGTGCAGTGGCGTGATCTCGGCTCACTGCGACCTCCACCTCCCGGATTCAAGAGATTCTCATGCCTCAGCCTCCTGAGTAGCTGGGTAACAGGTGACCGCCACCATGCCCAACTAATTTTTGTATTTTTAGTAGAGATAGGGTTTCACCACATTGGTCAGGCTGGTCTCGAACTCCTGACCTCAGGTGATCCACTTACCTTGGCCTCCCAAAATGTTAGGATTACAGGTGTGAGCCACCGTGCCCGGCCAATATTTTTTTTTTTTTTGAGACGGAGTCTCGCTCTGGAGTGCGGTGGCCGAATCTCAGCTCACTGCAAGCTCCGCCTCCCAGGTTTACGCCATTCTCCTGCCTCATCCTCTTGAGTAGCTGGGACTACAGGCACCCGCCACCTCGCCCGGCTAGTTTTTTGTATTTTTTAGTAGAGACAGGGTTTCACCATGTTAGCCAGGACGGTCTCGATTTCCTGACCTTGTGATCCGCCCGTCTCGACCTCCCAAAGTGCTGGGATTACAGGCTTGAGCCACCACGCCCGGCCGCCCGGCCGATATTTTAAGTGCTCTGTTTTTTGTATTGTTCAGAGAATGTTTCATTTATATTAATGAGAAAGGAAGAATGGAATATAAATAAATCAGGGCAAACACAGCTCCAACAGTATATAGAAAAACAGAAAAGAAAAAGTATATATATCACTGAAATACAGAGTTCATGGTGCCTGTCTCCTGAATTAGCACTTCTTTAGAAAAGCAAATGCCTCAGAGTCTGTCTTCCAATGTACCAGCTCACACATTGTGTCAGTATTTTGTGGACATCTGAGTATTGGTGAAAGATAGTATTATATAAATCATACAAATTTCCGAGTAAAAAACTAAGACAAAAAATTATGCTCAGAGGGTATCATAAAGAGGAAAGGTGTCCTATGTAATAGAAAAAAATCCATTTTTTCTGTTGACCCTCAGTCTTTTATTTGATGTCGAGACAGGGTCTCTCTGTCGCCCAGGATGGAGTGCACTAGTGTCATCACAGCTCACGGCAGCCTCTGTCTCCTAGGCTCCCACCTCAGCCTCCCGAGGAGCTGGGATTACAGGCACACGCCACTGCCCAGCTAGTTAAAAAAAAAAAAAAAGTTTTGTAGAGACAGTGTCTTGCTGTGTTGCCCAGGCTGGTCTAGAACTTCTGGGCTCAAGCGATCCTCCTGCCTCAGCCTCTGATAGTGCTGGGATGACAGGCGAGAGCCACTGTGCCTGGCCTGAACCTTAGTCTTGAGTATAGTCTATGAACAAAGCAAACCTAGCTTGGTGATGATGATATTTTTTGGCAAAATTTAATAAACCAAAAGTAACTTCAGAAATATGAAAATCAATTACTGAATATAATTCCTGAGAAAGATAAAATCTGGAATTACATGGCTGAGTTCCAAGCCAGCCTGGGTAACACAGGAAGTCCCTGTCTCTACAGAAAACAAAACAAAACAAAAAAACAACAAAAAACTTGGCTGGGCATGATGGCATGTGACTGTGGTCCCAGCTACTCGGGAGGCTGAGGTGGGAGGATTGCTTGAGTCTGGGAGGTAGCAGCTCCAGTAAGCCGTGATTGTACCACTACATCCATCCTGGAAGACAAAGTGAGACTGTGTCTCAAAAAAAAAAAAAAAAAAAAAAAACCTGGAACTACATACTCAGCGAAAAATTCATTCTCAAAAACTTCCAATTTATGTTTCCAAAGTCGAAATATTCAAACTTTATGATCTTGTTGAATTCCCAAGTTTCAAAAAGGAGCCTGAGCAAGAATAAACTAGTGAACGGGCAAGAGGAGGTAGGAAGGTGATAATAAAGCCACCAATTTCAAAGCTCTGGGTTGCTGGGGATTTCAGTCTCATTATCACCTGCCACATGTGCTGAGTTTCCCTGCCACATTCACACTGGCTAAACTGGAGTTTTCAGCATGAAGCACAGGTTCTATCATAGAGGATCTTTTATTTATAGTATGGATGGCTTCCTCTTACGTGAGGTAGGAAATAATTTAAAGGACAATAAAGCAAATGTTTATGATGGAAGTCTGTAAACTGCACACACTTGTGCCTCCACCTACCTCCCACACAAAAAGAACTTTACACAACGCGGGTCTGAGAAAGTTTAAAATGAAAGAAAACTTTGGATCTTCCAATACTGAATCTGCAGTTACTGAAGATGAGAAAAGTTGCATTGAAGCCTGGTTTAATGGCTACATATTTTTAGAGCTCTCATTCCCCTCAGGGATGGGCATCTACCTGAGACCTAGAGTTGCAGAATGACACCCAAAACTTGCCTCACCTCGAATGCCGCCGAGATGATCTTTGCTTTCTTGCTGAGCACAGAGCCCACCGCATTGAAGTTCTTGTCTCGGATCTCAGCATACAGCTCCTCTGCAGAATTCAGCTGCAGCTTCTTTGCTTCCGTGGGGAGGTCCTTACCACCATCGCCCTGTTTCTTAGGTGCAAATTTCTCTGGAGGTAATTTCACATAACCTGAGCAGCAATGGAAGGGAATAAGCACCTGTGTGCAATGACTGGAAGAACCAATCAAGCGGCCAAGCACAAAACAATTTCCCTCAGGAGAAAATGGAAGATGGCAAATGACACATAGCTCTGAGCTTTTGATTTTCCATGATCAACGTACAGGAAGTAGTGACTCTAATATTGATACCACAGTTCTAATTAACTTTGGGGCACCTATATAAACCACATGCAGCACTGTCTACCTCCTAAATTTATTCAGCGATTAGGTCACTTTTCTACTCAGAAAACTTTCAAGGATCTCCCCATTGACTTTTAGTGTTTTTTCAAACTACATCATGTTCCATTAGTGGATCATGAAATCAAGCTGGTGGGTTGCAAGTAGCATCTTAAAAACAAAACCAAGACAAAACAAAACAAAACAGCAGTACTAAAAACAGCGAAGAGCAGAAAGTACAAAAGCTTATCACATGACGTTAGAGAAACTAGTGGTGACTTCGGTTTTTTTTTAAATAAAACTTTTGTTTCAGTTTCACATGCACACATATACATACATGTATGTACTGGGTCATGATATAAAATATATTTCTTACTGTGGGTTGGAATCCAAAATAGTTTAAAAGCCATTCTAGAACAAGAATTAGAAACTATGATCTGAGGGCCAAACTCTGCTCACTCTTTTTTTTTTTGAGACGGAATTTCACTCGTCACCCAGGCTTGAGTGCGATGGCATGATCTCGGCTCACTGCAACCTCCGCCTCCTGGGTTCAAGTGATTCTCCTGCCTCAGTCTCCTGAGTAGCTGGGATTATAGGCACCTGCCACTACGCCCTGCTAATTTTTTTGTATTTTTAGTACAGACAGGATTTCACCATGTTGGCCAGGCTGGTCTCGAACTCCTGACTTCAGGTGAGCCACTTGCCTTGGCCTCCCACAGTGCTAGATTATAGGCATGAGCCACCACGCCCAGCCCACTTTCTGTTTTTGTAAATAAAGTTTTATTGGCACACGGCCACAGCTATTCTTTTTGTATTGTCTATGGCTTCTTTCACATTACAATGACAGAGACAAGGAGGTTCCTCTGTATAACTTGCGCTGTGTAACAAGCGAAAGCCTAAAATACTTACTATCTGGGTCTTTATAGAAAAAGTTGTACACCCTGATCTAGAATAAGCTTCCAAATTCCTTAGCATGGGAGTCTTAATTTCCTTCTCCCTACTCTGCTCCTGCCAAGCCAAGTGAGTCTCTATTTCCCAGGAACACCCCACATGTGCTCATGAACTACTGATGGCATAGAGCTGGTGTAACTCTGTAGTAAAGCAATTTGGCAACACGTACCAAGTGCCTTTCACCCCAAAAATCCTGCATCAGGGAATCCAGGGAAAGAAAATAATCTGATATATGAAAAAAATCTTATATAGGCTGGGCATGGTGGCTCACGCCTGTAATCCCAGCACTGTGAGAGGCTTAGGTGGGAGGTTCTCTCTCTCTCTCTTATTTTATTTATTTATTTAAGAGGGAGTCTTGCTCTCTTGCCCAGGCTGGAGTGCAGTGGCGTGATCTCAGCTCACTACAACTTCCACCTCTCAGGTTCAAGCGATTCTCCTGCCTCATCCTCCCGAGTAGCTAGGATTACAAGTGCCCGCCACCACATCTGACTAATTTTTGTATTTTGAGTAGAGACGTGTTTCGCCATTTTGGCCAGGCTGGTCTCGAACTCCTGACCTCAGGTGATCCGCCCACCTCAGCCTCCCAAAGTGCTGGGATTACAGGCGTGAGCCCCCATGCCCAGCCACTTCTTTTTTTTTAAATTGAGAGAGTCTCACTTTGTCACCCAGACTGAAGTGTAGTGGGACGATCTCGGCTCATTGCAACCTTTTTACCTCCTAGGTTCAAGTGATTCTCCTGCCTCAGCCTCCCAAGTAGCTGGGATTACAGGTGCACACCACCATGCCCGCCTGATTTTTGTATTTTTAGTAGAGACAGGGTTTCGCCATATTGGCCAGGCTGGTCTCAAACTCCTGACCTCAAGTGGTCTGCCTGCTTCAGCCTCCTAAAGTGTTGGGATTACAGGCATGAGCCACCACACCTGGCCTGGGAGGATCTTTTGGGCCTAGTTCAAGACCAACGGGGGGGCAACATAGAGAGACCCTATCTCTGCAAAATCGTGAAAAGTTAGCTGGGCGTGGTGGTGCATGCCTATAGTCTCAGCTACTTGGGAGGCCGAGGTGGAAGGACTGCTTGAGCCCAGAAGGTCAAGGCAGTAGTGAGGTATGATCACGCCACTGTTCTCTAGTCTGGGTGACAGAGTGAAACCCCGTCTCAAAAACAACGACATTGGCTGCGCATGGTGGCTCAGGCCTGTAATCCCAGGAATTTAGGAGTCTGAGGAGGGTGAATTGCTTGAGTTCAGGAGTTCGAGAACAGCCTGGGCAACATGGTGAAACCCGTCTCTATTAAAAACAAACAAAAAACAAAAACAACAAAAACCCCACTTATGTATACAGATGTTTTTATAATCACACACACAAAACCTAAAATGCCCAGCATTAGAGGAATGACTCTGTAAACTAGGGTTTAAATATACTATGAATTTTCCTTTTTTTTTCTGAGATGGAGTTTCACTCGTTGCCCAGGCTGGAGTGCAATGGCGCGATTTCGGCTTACTGCCAACCTCTACCTCCCAGGTTCAAGCAATTCTCCTGCCACAGCCTCCCAAGTAGCTGGGATTAGAGCCGCCCGCCACCACACCCGGCTAATTTTTTTTTTTTTTAGTAGAGACAGGGTTTCACCATGTTGGTCAGGCTGGTCTCGAACTCCTGACCTCAGGTGATTGGCCTGCCTTGGCCTACCAAAGTGCTGGAATTACAGGCATGAGCCACTATGCCTGGCCTATACTGTGGACTTTAACATAACGATTACAGTATACATACACTGGGAAAATGCTCATTAGCATCCCAAATCAAAACTCAGGTTTGAAACTATTTGTGCAACCTGATTCCATTTTTTGTTAACTAAAGTAAACTACACAAGGGGTAAAAAAGACTAGGAAATGATACCACAATATTAACAGTGGTTGTCCCAAGGTTTGGGGCCACAGGGTAGGGCTGGAGGATAATAAGGGATCTATGTTTTCTTCTATTTTTCCAATTTTTTTCTTAATCAATGTTTGACTTACATTACAAAAAAACTTGCTACAAGGAGGATGGGAATTTATACATATTTTTTCTCTTCCTGGAAAATCCCTTCCCACCTCTCACCTCTCCTATACAGCTATCCCCCTCTCCCCCTGCCACTCCCCATCCTGAACTTCAGAACTCTTCTCTCATGCCTTCCTGGGTGGTACAAGCTCTGGGACCACCCTGTTTCTTTGATTTCCACCCATGACCCAGCATAGGGCTCTCCTGAAATAAATTCCTCTGTCAATAAATAAGGTTTTAAAAAGTATTAAAGGTGCCATTTTTTGGACAAATAACAGTAATAAAAAGACTTTACAATCTTACCACTAAAGACCTTGAGGAGGCATGTGGAAACGCCTCTTCATGTCTCTCTCTCCATTCCCTCACCCACGTCATTCATTCATCCATTCTTGTGGTAAACGGCACATAATATAAAAATTACTACTTTGTCTTACAGTGAATATCCAGTAGCATTTAGTACATATACAACATGGTAGGACCACAGCCAGTATCTAGTTCCACACTTTTTCATCCTAAAGGGAGACCTCGTAGCCAGTAAGTGGTGGCTCCCCATCCCCTTCCCGCAGTCCTGGCAACCACGGGTCCGTTTCCCTTTGAATTTCAGACCTTTCCTCCCTTCCTTTCTTTCTAAATATTTTTAAAAATTTTCACCTATTTTATTATTATTTTTTTGAGACAGCGTCTCACTCTGTTGCCCAGGCTGGAGTGCAGTGGTGCGATCTTGGCTCACTGCAAGCTCCGCCTCCTAAGTTCAAGTGATTCTCATGCCTCAGCCTCCTGAGTAGCTGGTACTATAGGCATGCGCCACCAAATCCAGCTGTGTGTGTGTGTGTGTGTGTGTGTGTGTATTTTTAGTAGCAATGGGGTTTCACCATATTGGTCAGGCTGGTCTCAAACTCCCGATCTCAAGTGATCTGCCTGCCTTGGCCTCCCAAAGTGCTGGGGTTACCAGCATGAGCCACTGCACCCGGCCTCATCTTTCTTCCACATCCCTCTCCTCCGGCCTTCCCTTGGCTCCGTGTGGCCTCATTCAGGATGGCAATAGAGGCTGGGGACTACGCAGATGAGGGAAGAAGGCCAGGCTGAGACAGGTGTGGGGGTCTGTGGTGAGGCAGGGAGTTCTAGAGGCACTAGGTCCTGGCCACCAGTGGGAGCGTGGCCTCTTGCCAGTGCTTCCAGTATTTTTCAAGTCATGGCATAATTCAGGATTATTACTTAAAATGTATCACATTTAAAAACTGACAGAAATAAATACCATGTGGGCCAAAACCAGTCAAACCAAACACGCCTGTGATCTCTGACCTACTCACTCACCAAGGCCAAGCTCTAGCCAGCCATCCACATTTTCCATCGAGTGGCCTCGACCTTCTGTACCAGTTGTTTTTCTTTTTTTTTTTTTTTTTTTTTTTGAGACGGAGTCTCGCTTTGTCGCCCAGGCTGGAGTGCAGTGGCCGGATCTCAGCTCACTGCAAGCTCCGCCTCCCGGGTTTACGCCATTCTCCTGCCTCAGCCTCCCGAGTAGCTGGGACTACAGGCGCCCGCCACCTCGCCCGGCTAGTTTTTTGTATTTTTAGTAGAGACGGGGTTTCACCATATTAGCCAGGATGGTCTCGATCTCCTGACCTCGTGATCCGCCCGTCTCGGCCTCCCAAAGTGCTGGGATTACAGGCTTGAGCCACCGCGCCCGGCTTTCTTTTTTTTTTTTAAGACGGAGTCTCACTCTGTCACCCAAGCTGGGGTGCAGTGGCGCGATCTTGGCTCACTGCAACCTCCGCCTCCCAGGTTCACGCCATTCTCCTGCCTCAGACTCCCGAGTAGCTGGGATTACAGGCACCTGCCACCATCTCCGGCTAAGTTTTTGTATTTTTAGTACAGATGGGGTTTCACCGTGTTAGCCAGGAGGGTCTTGATCTCCTGACCTTGTGATCCACCCGCCTCAGCCTCCCAAAGTGCTGGGATTAGAGGCGTGAGCCACCGCGCCCGGCCCTGTATCAGCCGATTTTCTAAAATATTTCTCCAGCCATGCGTTCCACTCAACCACACTGTTTGGCTCGTCATGACTTGTGTATGATACCGCCTGCCCCTGCCCCAGGATCTTCATCTAAACTCTCCGTGTCTTTCCAAACCCAGCACAAATGCCACTGCTTCCACCACCTTCCTCAACTACTGCTGGCCGCAAGGATGTGTGCATTGCAAATGCCAGTGCCCTCTGTGGGAGACCCCCGGCCTCTGCTCACAGGGGACAATGACAGGCCTGGGCACTAAACTTCCGGCCAACTCTTGTGTCACTGACAACTGCAGTTTGCTCAGATGTCACTGAATCCTAGTGTCTGAAAGTCAGAGGTCAGTATTTTCATTGTTTCAAGGGTTCTTGGATTTCTATGTAAAGGAAGCAGCTTTCTAACAGCCTTTGGAGGCATGGTCTGAGTATTCTGCCTCCAGTTATTTCTGGTTTTTATGGTATTCTTAGTTATTTTTTGTAGATATAAATATAGTTTGGAACACACATATATACGCAGACACATATATAACAATTTCTAACTGAAATAGACATGACTATGCAGTTTTTCATGTTCCACATTTATTATTTTGATGGTTCCATAGTATTTTCTTTTTTTTTGAGACGGAGTCTCACTCTGTCAGCAGGCTGGAGTACAGCGGCACTATCTCAGCTCATGGCAACCTCCTCCTCCTGGGTTCGAGCAATTCTCTCACCTCAGCATCCCAAGTAGCTGGGGCTACAAGAACGCGCCACCACACCCGGCTAATTTTTTGTATTTTTAGTAGAGACAGGGGTCTCATCATGTTTGCCAGGCTGGTCTCAAACTCCTGACCTCAAGTGATCTACCTACCTTGGCTTCCCAAAGTGCTGGGATTACAAGTGTGAGCCACCATGCCCAGGTGGTTCCATAATATTTTATAATGTACTCATCCACTGAAATTGTTTGGAAAATTCTGGTAAGAAAATGGAAATCGAAATTTTTATGCAAACCTCACTGATCCCCTTTTTTGGAATGATTCCTCAATGCACGTTCTTAGGCTTTGGGCTTTCTTGGGCCAAGGGTTAGAAAAGTTTTATGTGTTGCTAAATTGCTAACAAAAAGGTCTATATTAATGTACACTTTGAATCATTAAAATTAGATCTCTGACTTCAAATTATGCTCAAGTGTGCAATATACAAACAGTAGTCTCCACAAAGGATATTCTTCTCATATTACCTATTAGTGAAAACAGATGTCACGTACTTACTGTTCTGAATGCCATAAATTTCATCAATGAGTCCTTCATATGTCAGCTGAGTGGCAAGAGGTGTTAATAAATCCACATTCCGATCAAGCAACAAGAGATTATCAAAAACGGGAAATATTGAATTCTGGCTTCCTGTAAACTCTCTCTTCATCCTGATCATCATATTGGCCACTTGCTGGAAACAAAACATTGGATGAGGTGGGGCCCTCCTAGGAATGAGCAGATGTGAAAATCTGTCTAAAACCAGCAAGGCAATCAAAAAAGTGAAAAAGGAGAAAAACTGGAAGAGTGCATTGCTAAGAAACAAGCAGCTCTAGAAAAGCACCTTGCTGTTGGCACCCATCCCAACACTTGCGCCAAGGAAGCTGCCATTTGCCAATGAGGCATAAAATCAGATCAGTATATTCTTGTGATTAGCAGTAGTTATGTTCTATGAAGTCACTGCAAACACTAAATTAGCAAAGATGCAACCATTGGTCCTGGGAGAAATGCAGACTTAGGTTCCTAGGAGCCTCTGGTCTCAATGTTTTTGTCATTTGATCAATACATAACCCAGTTTTATATGTGTTTCTGCTTAAAGATGCCTGACTTAACATAATTATTGATCATTCACACTGAACTGACAGCCAGCAGCTCTGTGACTCATGCCTGAATGAAGCGTCTCTGACACACATAATGTCTCTGCCAGGCACACCACAGCCTTCTTGTGCACAGGACACCAGACTGCACCTCAGCCCTACGTTTGGGGGCCATTTTAAACAGTGAAATCACCAAAAAAAGTACAGATGTGTGGAAAACATGACAGTGAGACTGTGAAAAGGACACTTGTTTGCAGTCCGAGAGCTGAAATGGGAAGGTGGAGTGTCACCTGCCTCAGCTGGGAACATGCACAGTGGTTACTCAAACTGTCACCACTGTGCACGCCCACAAAAGCACCATGAGTACTGACTTGGAGGCTTATAAGTGCATTTTAATCAGTAGGCAAATTCATGAGTACAGTATTCGTAAATAATTAAGATCAACAGAATTTGTTTGTAAGGAGCTTCCCGTTCCTCCTCCCTTCTGGGGTGTGAAGGGCCCCTTCTTTACCACCAGAAAGCAGCTGGTTCTTACCCGAGCGCATTCTCCTTTCCCAAAGATCTGGGGGATCGTTCCGTACAGAGCTTGCAGGGTCATCAGCCCCTTGGCTGCATGGTACAGGCTTGTCTGGTCACCCTCCAGGTAGCACTCCTGTGAGGGGAAAGGCCAATTACTGCCAGGCCATGGGGGCCTCCCAGGGGTCCATCTCTGTTCCTGGGGCTGGGGTGCACCAACAGACAATAAAATCATTTCCAGTTATTTCACACTGTGCCAGGAAAATTGGGAACTCAAGTTCATTTTCCAAAACTGCTGCCTGTCAGACCAGGCCCTGAGGCTGGCAGCCCCAGGGTGGATGCAGCCCTGGAAGCACCTCTCCTGGGCAGAGCCGGGGCTTCTGGGAGAAACTGTTCACCCAGCATGCCAGCTCTTCTGAATAAGCTCTTAAATAAAAGACGGAAGAATACAGACTTACACTGAACGATGGGTTCCCATTCACTGGTGAGAGTAAACTCTGGCAGGACATGCTGGGAGAGCCACATGCTAATTACCGAGAAATACAAAAGACCACAGGACAGAATACTTCATTGTTTTTACAAAGGATGAGGCAGATTTTCATGACACCTGACAACTGAAGGCCACAATCTCTTATGATCTCCTTTTATAAAAAATATATAGATTTGCACTGAAAAAAGGACCTCCAAATACACACAAAACCACCTGGGAAGGCTAGATGAATGGCTGTAACCCCAGCACTTTGGGAGGCCAAGACAGGAGGATCGCTTGAGCTCTGGAGTTAGAGACCAGCCTGGGCAACATAGTGAGACCCTGTATCTACACAAAATTAAATTAGCCAAGGATAGTGGTACGCATCTGTATCCGAGCTACTCAGGAGGATAAGGCAGGAGGATCACCAGAGCCCAGGGGTTTGAGGCTGTAGTGAGCTATGATCGCACTGTCACACTCCCCTCTGGGCAACAGAGCAAGACCCTACCCCTTAAAAAAAAAAAAAAGAAAAAAAGACGGAGAGAGAGAAAAAACCCACCTGCGAAGTGAGAGGAGGGAAGCGGTCACTTTTGATACAGGTGGATCAAAGCACAGATTCTAGACTCAGGTTGCCTTGTTCTGAACCCAGCTATGTCACTTACTAGCTGTGCCCTGGGCCAGTTAGAGAATCTCTCTGTGCCTCAATTTATTCATATGTAGAAGGGAGTATAGTCCACATAGGGCAAGGATTACATGAGAAAAATACATGTAAAGCATTTGATCGCAGTACCTGAAACATATAGCAAATGCTCAATAGCAGTTAGCTTTTTTTTTTTCTTTTGTTTTTGAGACGGAGTCTCGCTCTGTCGCCCAGGCTGGAGTGCAGTGGCGCAATCTTGGCTCACTGCAAGCTCCGCCTCCCAGGTTCACGCCATTCTCCTGCCTCAGCCTCCCATGTAGCTGGGACTACAGGCGCCCGCCACCGCGCCCAGCTAATTTTTGTATTTTTAGTAGAGACGGGGTTTCACCATGTTAGCCAGGATGGTCTCGATCTCCTGACCTCGTGATCTGCCCGTCTCAGCCTCCTAAAGTGCTGGGATTACAGGCGTGAGCCACCGCGCCCGGCCTAACAGTTAGCTTTTATATGGAATGATTTGGGTTTTTTACAACCATTATCCACTCATAAGTCAATACGGTACATTTTATCAATTCCCTCCACCCCTACCAACCCAACATGTCCCTGCTGTCCACAGCCAGAAATGAGGGGGCCCTGAGGGTCCAGGTCCTGAGGAAGAGAGAACGTGGTTGTCACTTGGCAGGCCCTCTGCCCCAGGGAGGAAGGATGGCAGACATGGTGGGGAGCATTTGGTTATTATTGAAAGTGTTGCCAGACTACTCTTTCGAGTGTGGTGTATTTTAACACTTCCCAGAATATGGCAGACCATCATTGAGAATGTCAAAAGACACACTTTTTGGCAAAACTACTTAAAGCTCCAGATCAGATGAACATCCAAGGGCAAAAGACATTAAGGGCCAGGCACAGTGGCTCATGCCTCTAATCCCTGCACTTTGGGAGGCCGAGGGGGGTGGATCATGAGGTTGGGAGTTCGAGACCAGCCTGACCAACATGGTGAAACCCTGTCTCTACTAAAAATACAAAAATTAGCTGGGCGTGGTGGCGTGTGCCTGTAATCCCAGCTACTCAGGAGGCTGAGTGAGACAGGAGAATCACTTGAATCCGGGAGGTGGAGGTTGCAGTGAGCCAAGATTATGCCACTGCACTCCAGCCTGGGCATAAAGCAAGATTCTGTCTCAAAAAAAAAGACATTAAGGAACTCCCCTCCAAATAGCATTCATATTTTACTTAATTTTTTAAAGTTGTACTACTACAAAGACGGCTCTTTTACAATATTTTTTAAAAGATGTAAAAGTTAGCAACAGATTTTAATCTTGTGGTTTTTTTTGTTTTTTGTTTTTTTTTTGAGACAGAGTCTTGCTCTATCGCCCAGGCTGGAGTGCAGTGGGGCAACCTCAGCTCACTACAACCTCCACTTCCCGAGTTCAAGCGATTCTCCTGCCTCAGCCTCCTGAGTAGCTGGGATCATAGGCGCCCACCACCATGCCTGGCTAATTTTTTGTATTTTTAGTAGAGATGGGGTTTTACTATGTTGCCCAGGCTGGTCTCAAACTCCTAACCTCAGATGATCTGTCTGCCTCGGCCTTCCAAAGTGCCACCACACCCAGCTCAGTAACCTTAACATTTAAATGCACATTTTTTTTTTTAACCCCAAAGTCTCACACACCCACACAACAGAATACCTTGCAGCTTGCATAAAAGAGGCAGATTTTATATATGCTGATTTTTATATATGCGAATAAAGACCACAGTACCTTAAGCAATGCTATTGAGCATTCAACTGGGCAGAACTCTAATTCTCACATTTTACACAGAGCAATGACATAGATGATCACAACCGTAACTCAAAACACAGAGATCTAGATGTGCCTCCTGAAGCCAGGAAACCACCAAGTTGTGCTCAGTATTGAAAATCACAGGCCGGGCGCGGTGGCTCAAGCCTGTAATCCCAGCACTTTGGGAGGCCGAGACGGGCGGATCATGAGGTCAGGAGATCGAGACCATCCTGGCTAATACGGTGAAACCCCGTCTCTACTAAAAAATACAAAAAAAAACTAGCCGGGCGAAGTGGCGGGTGCCTGTAGTCCCAGCTACTCGGGAGGCTGAGGCAGGAGAATGGCGTGAACCCGAGAGGAGGAGCTTGCAGTGAGCTGAGATCCGGCCACTGCACTCCAGCCTGGGTGACAGAGCAAGACTCCGTCTCAAAAAAAAAAAAAAAAGAAAATCACAGAAATACGATTATGTCATCTCCGTCAAAACTTGGGGTTGACTTTAAAATTAGGCTCTTAGGTAAAGCTCTTAGCTTTACCATCCAGATAAAGTCCTTTCTTTTTTTTTTTCTGCCACTTCTTCCAACTCCCCCAAACCCCCCGCCTTTTTTTTTCGTTGTTGTTGTTGAGATAGGGTCTCGCTCTATTGCCCAGGCTGGCGTACAGTGGTGCGATCTCGGCTTACTGCAACCTCTGCCTCCTGGCTCAAGTGATTCTCCTGCCTCAGTCTGCCAAGTAGCTAGGATTACAGGCATGCACCACCACACCCAGCTAATTTTTATTTATTCATTTTTTTATTTTTAGTAGAAATGGGGTTTTGCTATGTTGCCCAGGCTGGTCTCAAACTCCTGACCTCAGGTGATCTGCCCACCTCAGCCTCCCAAAGTACTGGAATTACAGGTATGAGCCACCATGTCCGGCCAAAATCCTTTCTTTCTTTCTTTCTTTTTTTTTTTGTTTTTTTTGAGACGGAGTCTCGCTCTGTCACCCAGGCTGGAGTGCAGTGGCGCGATCTCGGCTCACTGAAAGCTCCGCTGCCTCCCGGGTTCACGCCATTCTCCTGCCTCAGCCTCCCGAGAAGCTGGGACTAGAGGCACCCGCCACCGCACCTGGCTAATTTTTTGTATTTCTAGTAGAGATGGGGTTTACCGTGTTAGCTAGGATGGTCTCGATATCCTGACCTCGTGATCTGCCCGTCTCGGCCTCCCAAAGTGCTGGGATTACAGGCGTGAGCCACCGCGCCTGGCTTCAAAATCCTTTCTTTCTAAACAGCATCTTAGGTGAATGTACAAAGCCAAAGACTTGAAATTCTCAGTAGAAAATAGTTCTGGCCAGGCATAGTGGCTCAGGCCTGTAATCCCAGCACTTTGGGAGGCTGAGGTGGTGGATTACCTGAGGTCAGGAGTTCGAGACCAGCCTGGGACACATGGTGTAACCCTGTCTCTATTAAAAACACAAAAAATTAGCTGACATGGTGGCGGGCGTCTATAGTCCCAGCTACTCAGGAGGTTGAGGCAGGAGAATCACTTGAACCCAGGAGGTGGAGGCTGCAGTGAGAGATGGCACCAATGCACTCCAGCCTAGGCGGCAGAAACAGAGTGAAACTCAGTTTCAAGAAAAAAAAAAGAAAATAGTTCTGCCCTTCCTTACAAATCATAAGTAACATAAACAGGTTATTTCTCCTCTGCACAGATTTTGTCACTCCAAGAGAGTTTGCTTCGGCTGCTACCAATTCCCATTAAATACACAAATATGGATTAAAAAAAATGGGTATACCATCACAGGTATGTGATAAAGCACATACAGAAAACTGTTAATGCAGAAGATAAGTGGTGGATAGATGGGTATTCACCGTACAATTCAATTTTTTGGTATACTGAAATTTTCCTATAAAATGTTAGAGGGAAATCTGTATTACCATCAGATGGGATTTAGTGTAAGCAAACCACTAGGGAACAGGGTACAAAAGAGCCAAGAGGGTTGGGCGCCGTGGCCCACGCCTGTAATCCCAGCACTTTGGAAGGCTGAGGCAAGAGGATCATAAGGTCAGGAGTTCGAGACCAGCCTGGCCAACATGGTGACACTCTGTCTCTCCTAAAAATACAAAAAATTAGCCAGGTGTGGTGGTGGGCACCTAATTCCAACTACTCGGGAAGTTGAGGCAGGAGAATCGCTTGAACCTGGGAGGCAGAGGTTGCAGTGAGCCGAGATTGCGCCACTGCACTCCAGCCTGGGCAACAAGAGTGAGTGAGACTCTGTCT